AATTAATCTATCTATGGATAATTGGAAATAATTACAGTAGTTCTTCATGTAGCTGTTGTAAAAAAATATATATATATCCATATGTTGCAACAAGAAAACCCATATCTCTTAGGAATCCAGTTGTGCGGTCTGTTTGTGTGTCTCCGTTTTCCACCACCAGGAGGTGCCCTGTCTTCGCTGTCCCTCCCTGCACACCTGCGACTTGTTGGATCATTATCTGGAGGAGTATTTGAGCAGTGGACTGTCACTACCTCAACGCCAGAGTGTTTGCCAGTTTTGGGTACTCTAGCCAAGCTGAGTTTAGCTGAGTCTAACCTAGCTTTGTTTCTCTGAGTCTAATGAAATTATTTTCAAAAGGAGATGCTTTGTTTGGTTTTTAACAACAAATGTGTCTAACGGACCAAGTGGATGATTTTCTTTTTCACACAAAACTGTAAGAAAAACTCTTTCTTGGCTTAAGCCTTAAGCCCAAACCCTTCAAAAATAGCAAGAAAGGTTGAAGAATGTATATATAATTAATTTTTAATCATTTTACATGAATTTTATTTCTTAACCATAATGTTTTTTTATGTAATTGGTATTGTAATTTTATCTTGTGATTTTATACTTGTGTTTATTTTTAAGGTTGCCCTATCTGGCTGGGGGACTACCGATGAAAATTAGCACTCCTTAGCTAACTCGGGTATATTTACATTGCTTTAATGTTGATCAATGTACACTGTCCTCTTTCAAATAAACAATAAATGAAAAAATGAAAAAAAGAAGATAACAGCAAAACTGCATTTGAAAATGGACATATTCTTAGGAGTGTGGGCCCTGGCTATCACCTACTTTGGATGGCCACATGGATAAAGAAGGCCATAGGCTAAAAAAAAAAAAAAACGTGTCAGCCCCCATTGTAGGTATCGCTCCCTTTTTATGGTAAACATTAGACAGGTACACCTCCCATCTATGTGAGCCCACGAAGATCCTTCTTAGAACTGTCAACTGCTGATATATATATATATATATATATATATATATATATATATATATATATATATATATATATATATATATGTGTGTGTGTGTGTGTCTGTATATGTATATTGTTATTAATTTGTTTTTTTCTCTCTTCTTGGGTTTGATATTTTTTGTAGTTGCACATATAAAGATATATAGGTATATATGTTGTATTTATCATGTTCTTAAATAAAGAATGTTCAAAAAAAGACTGTAAGAAAAATATCCTGACTAAATCAGGAAATGAAACGTGATTGGCTTTAAGTTTGGCTTTGGGTTTGAGTTTGTCAAACAAAACCTGCAATCGACCAGGTTAGCTCTGGGGAGAACTGCGGTAACAAAGACAGAGATTGAGCAAACCCTATTTTTCTGAAATGGAAAAAAAATCAGAGTTCCATGATTCAGGTTTAGAAAACTTAAGAGTTTTCAGTAAACCTGCTTTGGGAAACAGACCTTATATTAATGCATCTTTTGCTTGTATGTATATATAGGTTTTCTTGGTTTTCAAGAAGACTTGTACAAGAGGAATATCACATTATAAGTTAAAAATGGTTTGACACAATTCTTCATCATCCCACTTTGTAACATAAACCGACCATTTTGACAGAGGATTTTACAGTATGGGATATTACAGTAGAACAGAATCCCACCAGTAAAGATTAACTACAATTCAGTTTACGTAAATAGCTCCAAATCACAACACATGTCATTTCAAGGCACTTTACAAGACAATTGATCAGATTATACTGGTAACTTGGTTACAATTTTTATCTAAGGAAAGCCAGCTAAATTTAATCTAGTCATTAACTTTGGAGGATTCACTCCTTCTGGGTCCGTATGTGGCAACAGTAGATATTTGTGTGAATTGTGTCATCAACTCTACAGCAATCTTGCATGCATGCAGCAACAGTGGGGAGGAAGAAATCTCTTTTAACAGGAAGAAACCTCCAGCAGAACCAGGCTCAGTGTGAGCGGCCATCTGCTGAGCTCGACTGGGAGTTCAACATAGAACATAGAAGCACTGATCCACACATACCGGTACTTTGTATTTTAGAGTTAAACTAGCTCCACATGTGATTCTGTGTAGGAAAGGAACAGTTGAAGTCTGAGCTAGTTTTCAAATCAAAGGGGATTAAAGGTATAACAGTCAAAGTAAAAGCTGAGCCCATATCATCTGTAATGGAAGTTGTTAATAGCTGTATCCCATCTATGATTTTCCTCCAGGATGGTGTCACAACCAAACAGGACCAGACCTGATGAAGCTACAGTGTTGAGAAAAGCAGAGTACCGTAAACAAAAAAATAGGGAATTGGAGAATAGAGAGAATGAAGCATAATAATAAAACGTTTCCTCTATGTCCTCCAGCAGCCTAAGCCCAAAGCAGCATAACAATTGTGATATCTCAGGTTAACCTGGGCCACTCTAAATATAAGCTTTATCTAAAAGGAAAGTTTTAAGCCTAGTTTTAAAAATAGACAGTTCCGCATCAAAGATTAAAACTGGTGGTTGTTCCTACACGAGATGAGCCTGATAAATAAAAGATCTGCCACCTAATCTACTTTCAGAAATTCTAGGAACCACTAGTTTATCTACAGATTGAGAGTGAACTGCCCTGTTAGGAACATATGAATCAGATCTGGGATACAAGATGGAACATGGTTATTTAGAGTTTTATATGTGAGAAAGAGACATATAGAGTGTCCTTCTTCATGAATAAAATAAAGGTGTTTTGTTCACTCTAGAGAGTATTTTTTGTGTATTTGATTAGCAGTAAAAAAAATAAAAATAAATAAAAAACACTGGTGAAGTGAGTAAAGTGATGTGACCTTTGTGCTGACTCACACATCTTAGGTAATATTGAATGTTTAATGGAAGATTTCGTATTTCATAATAAATAATGTGTCATTTTACAAAGTTATTCTGTTTTTGTACTGTAAATCTAGAGACGTATCAGTTACATATAATGTTATACTAATATATTTAAGCTGGTTTACAGCTGAGAGAGGCAATCACAGCAGACCCACATGCATCAGTCCCACACTGCAAAAACCATCTAAAAATGAGAAAAAAATGTCTTAAATTAAGTGTATTTACCATTAATTTGAGTAAGTAAATAAGATAATTTGCCAATGGAATGAGTATTTTTAGTCTTAAAATAAGATAATTAGATCATTTTCACTTGAAATAAGACAATGCAATTGTATTTTCTTATTTTAAGTGTAAATTGTCTTGTTCCATTGGCAATGTGTCTCACTTAAATCCTTAATTCAAGAAAAAATGCACTTATTTTAAGAAAAAATGACTCATTTAGATTAAATTTTTTTGCAGTGCACTAGCTGAGCTGCAACATTGAGCTTTTAACTCACTGATCAGGCCTGCAGTTTTAATGATCAGTATTGTTTAATGCTCATGGAACTGGTTCTACACAAAACAGGATCATCCCTAAAAAAGAAAACAATTTAGAAGACTGGTACTTTTCCAATAACTTTCTGTAGGTCCTAGGGGTTTATCCGATTCAGTTGGGTTTCAGAACTCTAGATTTTAATTTAATTGGGCCATTTCAAATTGGAAAAATATTGAACTCAGTTTCAAATGTTTGCAGCCTGTTCAAGGTTTTCCTCCATTGTGGCTCTTTATTAACCTCCGCCTCCCGCTGAGTTTTTAAAGTCTGGGATACCATTTTATAACCTTACCCTGCTATATACTCCACAACCTTCTTGATCTACATGGCTTGTTCATTGGTCTTCATAACACTGTTTAGAGATTACAAAAAAGTAAAAAAAACAAAAAAACACTGGACTTTGTTTCAAAGTTTGAAGATGTTTCGCTTCCCATCCAGGAAGCTTTTTTAATTAAAAATGTCAGAATTAGTGTCGAGTTTCGAGCTTTATAGCATAGCCTTGTTTTGGCTACTTATGCAAATTAAACATGCAAATAAACATGCAAATTGAACCGGAAGAGCGGCCCTTAGTTATTGGGGGTCATTAAGGTCTTTGTGAGCCTGCAATACCCGATACTGGTCAATGCCTCTGAAAGGGGGGGAGTCGTTAGGGGCATTGTTGGCCTGGCTGACCAGGCGAGATGTCCTAGTCCGCTGCATGGTGACGAGGATTATGATAGCAGGAAGGAATCAACTCTATCGCTGCGTTGTAGGTTTTTGAGAGCTTAAACCTGAGTCCACCCCCTCTGTTTAAGGATGTTTTTTTTTTTTCTCTTAACATAAATGACTTCCTTCACACCCCTTTTAAACCACATGTCATCTTTGTCCAAAATGTGAACATTCTGGTCCTCAAAAGAATGTCCATAAGGTGTAGATGTACCGCTGAGGAGGTAGCTCTCCTGTGTTCAATGATGTCCTCAAATAGAAGTCTGAGGCTGTCATAGTGCGGCCCAGGTTTAATAACGCGCACGTAGACTAGTTATACTTTCCAGGTAACTTCTAATTACATGCAGCTATAGTTTTATTTTGGCCAGAGGATTGCAACCTGTGTGATGTGAGGCACACCTATTTTTAGTCGCGTAGGAATACCATACATTCACATAATCATTCACATGTTTATGTGAATGTATAGTTAAAAAAAAAAAAAAAAAAACCTTTTTAAAAACGTTGTTAAAAGATGGAAAAGTTTTATTGTTGATGTGTTTTTATACAATCAGATTTGCAGAGGGTTGACACTGTTGCTGTTTGTTCTGTTTACAAGCCAAACATGGCCTCAGCCAGACATCAACAATGAAGCCTACATGAAAGGTATAAGTCTGCATTATTGTAAAGAAAGTTGAGAGAACGTGTAAATGAAAGGGAAGTTTGCATTTATTAAAAACATGAATGAGAGAAGAAAATTAAAACGCAATATTTAGTTAGATTTTTTGGAATGAGGCGAGCTTTGCTGTACTTTCAGAGGAAGTGTTTGCCTCCTTCTGGCTGAACCAATCACATCCTCCCATCCTCTGAAGCGGCCAGCCAATAGGAACGCTCGCACCGCTGATACTGGATGCGCCATTTTACTGCGTCCACACTCATCCGGCAAGATGGTCCCTTGCTTTGTTTCTTCTCACCGGAGTTATTTTGGCTTTTTGCCCTAAATTGTAGCTTCCACACCATCGAAATTAAGTGATTTGAATTGGACGAGGCTTCCTGGAGTAAGACCAAAACTCGGTACTGTCCGTCAGGAAATGACGATTGCTGAAAAGCAGGTATAGTCGTTGTTTGTACTGTTTGTTTTAGACAAGCCATCTTTGCATTGATTACTGTGGCGGCTTCGTTAGCAGCGAGCCGGGGCCATGGCAGCCTTCATGCTAGTTAGCACGCTAAGCTAGCCGAGCGCTAGCCGCGCAGCCGGCAATATCGATGTCTGCAGACATGGAGGTTTGCATGTTTACATTCTAACACCCGACATGTCACCGAAATACAAAATACAAAATATATTAACATAAATAATTAATTAATTTCATTTATTTGTACGTTGCTGTCGCTAGCTTAATGCTGCAAAGCATATCAAGTATGGATGCTACACGACAGTGCAGGGCGCGGATTTTTTTTTTTTCTTTTACCACGTTATATCCACATAAAGGATGCGAAGGCCTGCGTGCATGTCTGCATGCCCATGCAACGGAGCCAACATGCAATGCAATGGTAAAAAAAATGGTGCCAGCCCATTAGTGAAAGAAAATGAAGCTTTCAGGACCAAGCTGAGTGATAAACACGCACATTCAGTTGACGTCACGATGGTCAGGAGTTTCTGGGCTGTCAAAACTGAGAGTATTTGTGTTTGGGATAAATAAACTGCGAACGACTGGAGAACAGGGAGCTAGGCCTTAACCGACATTTTATTTTTTTCTTAAAAATGACATTTTTTTGTTTTGCTTTCTTAAACTTGACAAGGTAACCTGTCACAGGAGACATTGCAACAAACTATGTAGCATCTTGATAAGCTACATTCATGGGACTTAAAGTTTGTATAGTTCTGGTTCTTAAGTACCTTAATTTGGCTTAATAAAGTGAATGTTTATGCTTTTACAGATTTTTGAATATTATAAATTGAAACTTATTTCTTTGCCAAGTTAGAGAAAGTAATTGGTTCCAACATCATCCAAGTTCATTGCTGTTGTTTACATAATAGAAATAGTTGATCACAAAACAGGCTTGGTATAGAAATGCAAATATCAAAGGATAAAAAAAGACAATGTTTGGAAAAGATCGAGTTTATCTGAGACTAATGTGCAATGAGCAGAAAGTTATATCATTATTTTTTTACAGGTTACAAACGGATGTTGTGAGGTAAAAACAAAACAACCTTCAGATACCTTTCCTCACAGGTACCAGGCATGAAAAACAACTCCATATGTCCTAAATGAAATGAGATAAAGGTTTCAGAGAAATCACAGTCCTCATAATAAATACAAGGCCTCTGATTAGAGGATTAAGTGTATAGTTTCATCTGCTACTCATAAAAGAAGCAAAAAAAAAAAAAAAAAATACCATTACAGGATTAAATCTGTGGCTGTTTTGTAAATCAGATAAGTGTAGTAGAATTGGTTTAAATTCCCTTTAATGTCTTGGGTTATATTGTTTATTTGTAGAAAGTGAGACAAATCAAAGCAGCTCTAGATGTGATAATAAAGGGTCTACTCCACAGTTTTTAAGTTAATTTATCAATTAATTTTTTTGCCTAATGCAAAATGATGCTTACTTAACATTTTTATTAAATGTATTGTGGAATAATTTCATTTAGCGTCTTGTAAATGTCTATAGAATAATACAAGGTAACAGTATTTGTAATATCTGTTTTTGACTGGGAAAAAATCAAAGCATGAAAAGTTGCGCTTTGTTTTAATTCATCCAGTCTACGTTTAGGTCTGTGTTAATACGAATTCATTTATTAGATCAATTCATCCATAAATTGCATATCCAACAGTGGTCTGTTGAGTAGGTCATTCCATTATAAGCTAAGGTGCTCATGCTAGTATTAGGCTAACTCAGGGGTCTGCAACCTGTGGCTCCAGAGCCACATACAGCTCTTTGGACCCCCTACAGCGGCTCTTAATAGTGGCTAAAATGTAAATAAAGAGCTAAATAATGTACTAGTCTTAAATTTTTTCTTAAACACAAGATGGAAATAAACACAAGATGGAAAAGAATGACATTAAAAGAACCAGAAGTATGTTTTTAGAAGCATTTTTCTTTGAATTAGCTTGAAATGTATGTGTTCAATACTATTTTAAAAGCTAAAAAATACATAATGTTTTGGCTACTAATTTCCCATATGAGATATATATAAAAAAAAAAAAAGTATATATATATATATTTTTTTCAAACAGGTTATATTTTGAGGCCCTAAACAACTTTTACTTGGTCGGATTCGGGGCTAAATGGCTCTTTGGATATGAAAGGTTGCAGACCCCTGGGCTAACTGGTCTGACTGGATGTTTAGACATCGTTGGTCACTTTGGGCTTAGCGATGCTAACTAAAATTAAGCGATTTGTTGTTGCATTAATGAAGCTTAATGATTATGGATTACCACAATGTTCGCTTAAAAATGTCTCTTTCCAGGTAAATTGAGTCTGGCTTCTTCGGAATCAAACCTAGACCAAATGGGAGAGAAAGGAGAGGAGGTGAGGATGTTATTTCTAGGTTGGTACATGTTATACACACTGTTTTTAAACTGGTATAATAAATCATGGTGTGTCTGCAGCCTGGGAGCTCATCAGACAACATGAAACCATCTTCCTCTCACAGCAAGAGGTAAGGAGCTCACTTTCATTTCCAAATGTCTTCAGTGAATTACACAGATGCTGTACTAAAGTATCATGTCAATACAATTAAGGAAACCCACCAGTGTACCTAAGCACAAAGAACAGAAAGACTCAGATGCATCGACTGGCAGCGAAAATGAAGCTGCCAATTCTGACAGTAATACAGGCAGCGATTCTAAAGGTACGAGCTGGGCAGTGCGAGTTAGCTCAAAGTCGAGGCAAATCTTTACGCCACTGATTTTGTTTTTGCTTGTTTTTTAAGGGACCTTAGTGATGAAACCGAGCGGAAATGAAAACAAAGGTGCCATGAAGCTAAGAGTGGATTTCAAACAGAAAAAACCAGGTGACCTTCTGATTTTATTCAAAGGTTTCAATAGTCTGATTATGTTAGAGATTCAAGCAGACCAAGTGTAAAGTAAATGAGAAAAAAATTGGTTTGGAGAGACAGTTTGTTTTGTTTGTGGCAGACGATACCCTGGAGAAGAAGGTTAACTGCACAGCCTGCGGGAAACAAGTAAACCAATTTCAGCGCAACTCTGTGTACGAGCATCCAATGCTCAAGGTTCTCATCTGCAAGGTATCAACATTTAATTAGATTAGATGTTCTTCTCAATAATATAGCTAGTATTTTAGGTATTGCTGATCATTGTTTTTCTTTTTCTTTTTTCTGCAGTCATGTTACAAATACTACACAAGCGATGACATCGGCCGGGATTCAGATGGGATGGATGAGCAATGCAGGTGCGGACACCAACAAAACAATGATTTGTGGCATACTGAAGTAAAAGTAACGAGAAAAAAGAAAAACTTCACTATTATGTGGTGACGCAGGATGAATATTGAATATTTGCTAAAAAATTCCCTCAAGCTTATAAGCCCTGTGGCCATTGTAACTTTTCCTAAGACACATTTTCTCACTCAACTTTATATGAATATCCTTGCATTAAATGCTCTTGTGGATGGTATGAGTAGCAGACTTTGCTCAGCGACTTGTGTAACTTTCTGAACTCAGGCTAAGGCTCCTTTCCGAATATCTCCCAATTGTAGCTCCTAGCTCCTATCACTTCTACTTTTGTGGGGTTGCCAATAAGAACAATATCAAGGGTAGCAAAGGAGTTCCTGCGCTGAATTTGGACAGAGGCTTTAGCTTTATGGACGTCATTTTGCGACAGAAGCACACGTTTATAATACTGGTCAAGTTGGGACTACTTCAGCTACTAGGGGTGTAAATAATAATCGTTTTGTATCGATGCATCGATCCAACAGCCGACGATCCGATGCATCAACACGTCCGCAAGAGAATCGACTCATGTTTTTTTTTTTTTTTTTTCTCCGGTCTATTTTTATCCATTTGCTCCTGGGTGTAATTCTCCCTCCCGTGCTACAGTGGCGCTAAATCTATTTTGCCCTCCTACCTCGCTTCCTGGCTATACTCTTACAGCAGTGTGTTACAGTAAGCTTGACACAGACATTTTTAAATTATGCTCAATATTGAAGCGTGGTCTGTGCTACACGCTGTGGGTCTAGATACGGCCGAGGCGGCGAGGAAGTGGGGGCGAGTTTAGTCAGACGACGGAGGGACATGAGGGCCAAAAAGAGCGGAGATCCAGGTGGAAAAAGGGTCCCAGCGTTCTCGCGCACCGTACTCTTCTAGCGGGTCAAACTTCACGAGGTGTTTTCCGCATTTTGGTCATAAAAACAAAACAAGCCGGCCTCTTGTCTGCGGCACTGTTTGAGGTCAGCTACAATTTGGGAGAGGTGCAGCGGAGCGTGTCTCAAGGGGGCGGTGACGTCTGGAGCCGAGGTATTGCATTGCACTCATTGCACTGATTATGTGCAGTATTTTTGATGCAACTTTTATTTCAAACTTGAAACTTTGTTTAGCCTGTAAGGTGTAAAAAAAAAAAAAATTTAACCGATTAATCGAATCGTATCATAAATAATCGAATCGTTGGGTCAGGAAATCGATACTGAATCGAATCGCCATGATGGATGTGATTTACACCCCTATCAGCTACAAAAAGCTGAAGTTACTCAAGTATAGCGATCGATTCAAGCTGTCTGTTATAAAAACAAAAACATATGAAGGTATGGGTATTAGCGATTGATACATTTTTGGCATGCTGATATTTAAAAACAAAAGAAAATTTTTTTGTTTGTTTTTTGCTCGTGTACTTTCACTGATTCAAAGGTGAGTTCAGCAGCCATACATTAAGATGGTATGGAGTGCATGCATTGCCTTTCCCCTCCATTTTTATACATTTTTATTCTTTTTTAATTTTATTTGTTAATAGATGTTTTGTATAAATCAAGATTTGTTATCGATTAGTCATTTTTGTCGTGTAAATGGAGGAAGACTGAGCAATATCAGCTCCAACAATCTTATCATAATCTATTAGGGATCGCTTAGACTGATGTCAAAATAATCGGTATTATCCTGAAAAGGTCAATATCTAACGTACATTTACATGTGTCCCACAGAGAACATGAGGAAATAACATATTTTTCTTAAACTATGTAAAGATGGCATGCTTATACATCCTGTCATGCAAAGGCTTGTGGGAAAAAAGATCATATGTGTCAGATAGGATCAACTCGAAGTCCTGATGCTAACTAAACTGTCACTATCTGTATGATATAATTATAAACATTACAAATAAATAAGGGCGTTAAATGTTTGTGACATTAAGCTTTGTGAGGTTCACTTTCTGAAATTAGGATTTTATCTATGAATTCTTGGGGAAATATTCTTAGAGGGTTTGCGTTATGAATGATGCTAATTTGTTGCAAACGGAAATTTACCAAAAGGTTCCAGAAAGCAAGATGTCAACAAGTGTTTTATATTTGTGTCATCAGATGGTGTGCTGAGGGCGGGAAGCTCATCTGCTGTGACTACTGTAACAACGCCTTCTGCAAAAAGTGCATACTGCGAAACCTGGGCAGAAAGGAGCTGTCAAATATCACAGATGAGAACTCAAAGTGGCACTGCTATGTGTGCCGCTCTGACCCCCTGCAGGATCTGGTCGCCAGCTGCCAGAACATCATGCAGAGGAAGGAGGAAGCTGAGATGAAGCAGCGGAAAACGGAGAAAGCAGAGGAGCGGGAAGCGAGGAAGGAGAAGAAGAAGTCTCCTAAAGAGCAGAAAGCTGTTGCAAATGGGAAAGAGCACAACGAAGGCTTGGGGACCATGACCTTCTCTTATAAAAACCTGCAGATACCCAAAGATCAACTAAAAAAGGCAAAGAAGCTTGTAGAAACGACAACCGGTTTGAATAACACCTTCATTCAGTTCATCCAGCAGGCGGCCGACGACCAGGCAGACGCAAGCATCAGGTATCGACATTTGAAAGCCTTTAAGGCGGTGCTGACCGATCTGAGGCAAGCCCACAACGCTTTGGAGGAAGCTTTAAAGCCAGAGTTCAGAAAAATGGAGCCGCAGAACGGGATCGAAGGGCAACACGTGAGAAAGGCCGGCCCCGCTGTGGAAACCTCCGAGAACAATGAGATGGAGTGTGCCCCAGATCCGGTCCCTAGCGTGGATGGCGAGCGGCATGATGAAGTAAAGATGGAGGTGGAAGAAATGAAGGAGGGGACCAAGGAGCCGCCTGAGGAGAAGGATTTGGTGTGTAAATCTGGCAAAAGGACAGAGGTGAAGAAGGAGGTGGATGGTGACGCAGATTCAGATTGTAGAACACAAAATGAGGAGATGGTTGAAGAGCCGCCTAATGAGAAGGACTTTTCAACAAAAGAGGCGTTCGAGGAACCATCCAGTAGAACGGAACAGGTCGATGAAGCAGAAACCATGGAGGAGGTAGTGACGGAGCAGCAGGACGGTAAGGCCAATGAAGTGTCTGATGACACTCAGACAGAGGAACAGCAAAGCGAAACAAGCCCGCCCCTAGTGGTAAAAACTGAGGTCGTTGACGGCCAACCGCTGTCCTCTGCTGAAGCGTCATTAGATCAGGACATAATGTCTGTGCCTCCTTCAGTTCCAGAGGAGCTTTTCCAGATGGTGGAGAGTCTCGCTGATTCCTCCATGCTCTCAAGGACCGACACCACTTCAGAGAAAGACACAGACACAAAGTCAAAGGAGAATCCTCCAGAAACTCCTTGTCCCAAACCCAAAGTAAAGAACCTGATAGTCAAACTGACTCCAGTGCCGGTTGTTAAAAGTGGCGGGTCTAGGTCCTCCAAGTCTAAAAAAGGAGATGAAGAGCAGACCAGCAAGAGCAAGGATAAGGAAGATTCTGCTGCAGCAGAAGAAGGGACAGACAGCCCACCGCCAACCCGCCGCTCCAGCAGAGTTAAGACCACTCCTTTACGGAAGCAAGGGGAAAACAAAGGCAAGAAAGACTCCTCTGATTCAGAGTCTGAGGAAGACGCCAAGGCCAAGCCTTCAAAGAAATCCAATAACACTAAAAAAAAGACTAACAGTTCAGAGAAAGTGTTGGAAGACTCCGATTCAGACGAAGTTCCTCCCGCTCTGCTGGAAAAAGCCACAAGAGGCGACAAAAGCACAGATGAGGAGCAGGAAAGCACAGCTGCCAAAAAGCGTCTGTTTAAATCAGAAACGTCCTCGAAGGACGAGAAGTTAACGAAACGCAAAAGGAAGTCCGAAAGCTCTGATTCAGACGGAGAGAATAAAAACAAGAAGACGACTAAGAAGAAGAAAAACTGCAGCTCGGACAACTCTGGGTCAGACTCAGACGCGGAGAAGGAGACCAAAACAAAAGCAACCGTGGCCAAGAGGAGATCTAGCCGTGTAAAGAAGCAAGAAGACGCAAAAGGGGAGGAGAAAAGCTCACCGGACAGGAAGGCTGCTGATCGGAAGCGTTCCTATGAAAAGAAGCGGAAGGGAAATAGCCCGAAAGTCGCCTCCAAGCTGCAGTCTTCATCTGAAGAAGAAGAAGAGGAGGAGGAGGAGGATGCTGGCGGGGAATCCGGAGAGGATAGTGACCAGCAAAAGATCAAACCCATCGTGGAGGATAACGTGGTCGGAGGCAGCGGAGTCTTCCATCAGTCCTCTGGTAAACTTCTTAAGCAAGGCTGTGAGGCATCAGTTTTTATCAGAGGTGGAAAGAGTACTAAAAAATTGAGTAAAAGTATCTTTACTTTGCCTAAATTCTTCTCAGGGTAAAAGTAAAATTACCCATCTCAAAATTTACTAAAGTAAAAGTACAAAATTACTTAATTTAAAATGTAATTTGAGTAAAAGTTACGCAGTCACTTTGAGTTATTTAATGCAAAAAAGGATGAGTCATGAATGGAATTGAGCACAAGGTGTTTTAATCGATTTCAAGGCGTATTTCAGTGGAAATCCACACTTGCAAAAGATCAGCTGGACTAAGGAACATACTTCCTCACAGCACAAGGACAGTCACAACCTGTACCATAAAGTGCAAACTATTTTCAATCCTACTGTCCAACAGACAACACCATGATAACTAACTTACTGCCACATTTTGGATTGGATGTTGATGTTTTGAAAGCCGAAAGCTCTGTTTTGCTTGGCAGGCACATGTTGCACTGCATTATCACATTTCCTTCCAAATATGGCCAAGGGTTTTTCTGGCTTTCGTCTCCAGAATATGTTTCCACTTCAGGCCTTTCCTCATCCATACACCCTAAGTTGCGATTAGCAACTGCCATCTTCCGAAGCGCAGCACTGGATTATGAGACAATAAAAAGGGTAAATGTAAGGCAGGGCCACATTTCATTGGTTCATCAGCAGTATTTTTGTTTTTTACCCAGTAACGTGAGGGGGTTTTAAATGTAGCAAAGTAAAACTACTTAGGTTAAAATTTACTTGAGTAAAAGTAAAAATTAGATATTTCAAAAACTACTCAGAAAATTACAAATTACTCATAAAAAGTACTCAATTACAGTAAGTTGAGTAAATGTAATTCATTACTTTCCACCCCTGGTTTTTATTGATGTTAATCAATTAATAGATTCATATTGTCTGCTTCCCTCTGTAAGCTGCTTCGTCTCTGTAAGCTAAATAGTATATATAAACAAAGCTCTGCTTGAAGAGGTGTTTACAACATGTAAGAAAATGCTGCTATTTGTGCTTTTATCCTCCAGGAGACGAGGTAGATACTAAAGAAGACTTGCAGGTGTTTGAAGACGATGACGACGACCCTGAGAACAGGTGAGCCACAAACCCTGGAAAGGGATTTGCGGAAGATGTTGGAGACAATAATTATTCATCACTTTATCGCAAATCAATAAAATGCATGGGGGTGTTGTAACTGTGAGGATCTGGAAGTATCACTGCTGGACGACACTGACTAGCGAGGAGAAAAGGCTTCTGCTTTATTCAGTCACCCCTAAAAAACAAATCTGTTGCTTCTGGAGGTTAGAGTTTAATGGCAAACTCTGGACTTTGTCCATTAGGTTTAATTTCCTGCTTGGACCTAGATGCTAAAAATTACCCTGTTGCAGCATTCTGCAATATTTCACTGATCGAAGTCATTTAACACCATGCAGCTAAGCCCAGCTTATATATAGATGCTAATTTAATGAAGTTGTAACTCTCTGCTTTCAGTTGGAGTTTTGCGAGGTTGTGTTAACGATATGATAATTCTGTCTTTAATTCTCATTTAATGGTAATAAAATCAGCTTAGTGTACAACTGTGATGTTGCGACCACCTTCTATTTTTCCCTGAAATGTAAGTTTTATCTAAATGTCAATTTATGATAAGAGTTTTAGGTAGTCATGTGACTACTATAAAGTTCAGGTACTGCCTTAAAAATTACATATTTAATTTGAAACAGTATTGGCCATTAAATTAAACCTCTAATTTCACTTCTTTGTGATCTGTTATTCAGTTTTCTGAATTTTTTTTCTCCTTTATATCTTAAAGAATTGCAAAGAAAATGCTCCTCGCACAAATAAAGTCCAGTTACTCTTCAGGAGCAGAAAGCTCCTCTGACAATGAAGAGGAAGATGTGAAAGACAAGTCCTCTAAGAGAGCTAAAAAGGAGGAGGATGAGGAAGGTAAGTTTGAAATATTAAAGTAACATTCAACGTCTGCTTCCCTTTTTGGGTTTTTAATGATTTATGTTCCTCCCCTGAAAGATGACATGGTTACAGAAGACTCTGAGTCCGATGTTGAAGTGAAGAAGCCTGGCAAACGTCACAAACTGCTCCGCCACAAGCTCTCCCTGAGTGAGGCGGAATCTGGGGACGAGAAAGACTCGGGCAAGGAGAAAAAGGCCAAGGGGAGCAAGAAAAAATCTGCACGTAAAGGTACATTTGGGACTTTATTCAAATGATTTCCCCATTAAGAAAACCAGCACATGACTCTGTTGCTTTGCTCTGCAGCAGTTGGCAGCGATGACTCTGAAGACACTGACTTCAAGGACTCTGAGTCTAGTTCAGAATCGGGGATGAGTGAAGAGGTCAGCGACTCAGGGAAGGAGAACAAGCGCAGAAAGACCAGGTGAGAAGGCGGGATCCTGTCGGTAGCAGACATTTGCTTTCAGTTAATGAAACTCGAACAAAAACAAACGCGCTTCTCGTTTTGTTTCTGTAGATCTGCGAAGAAGAAGGAAGACAAGAATCAGAGAAGTTATAAGCAACAGAAAAAGAAGCGACGCAGGATCAAAGTTCAGGACGACTCTTCCAGCAATGAGAAGGTTTGTTTAATTCAGCTTTTCACAAAAACATGAGGACTATATGTATTTTTCTTAAACTGTGAGGATTTGTGTGCTTATACATCCTGTCATGCAAAGGATTGTGGGAAAACAAAGCTCTCAATAAGAAGGATCCTGCGTCCACTTCTTACCTCCTTGCTTCTTACCAGCACTATTCAGACAGCATTGTGGCGTCTGCTTTGGTTTAAGTGTTCCTGGAGATTTTTAGTATCCAGAAGGAAGCAGAAACGAGCAGAAACTTTGTGATCATCATGGAGGCTGAAGTTTACTAGTCAAACCATGCACAGCTTCTAAAAGCTATTTAAACTTCCCCCTGCAGCATATTTGGGGAGTTATTGGAAGCTGTAAACGAAACTTGGGGTTTGATAATCATGAGAGCATCTCTGTTCACCTGAGGGCTGAGGATCAAAGAGCTGAACTTAATGTGCATTTTCACAGAGTGGAGAGGAAGGAGGTGAGAGTGAAGGGCAAGAAGGAGACGGAACCAAAGGCCGGAAGAAGCTCCGCAAAATCCTGAAGGACGACAAGTTGAGGACCGAGACCAGAGATGCTCTGAAGGAGGAGGAGGAGAGGAGGAAACGCATCGCAGAGAGAGAGGCGCTCAGGCAGAAACTGAGAGAGGTAGACTTTATAATCATACAGATGTTTAAACGCAATATGTGAACCGATACATTTACTGTAGCTAAACAGAAAACGGCTAGGGGGCCATACAATTCTGTCATTATATTAACAGGTCTGATAGACGAGTATGGCGTAGTGATCAAGCCACAGACCTGAGCCCGCATTTACTGGTCTGAATACTGGTTCACAGCACTGTTCCAGTGGTTTAAGTCATTTTATATTTTATTTTAAATTGGTATTAATTAGAAACTCGTTTTTTTTTTCCTTTTATTTACTGATTGACCTGTTCTTAGATTTTTTTTATTTAATTATTTTTTTAAAGCCAATAATTATATATGTTTTCTTTTGTTCTTTAAAAATTTATATTAAAGTATTGAAATACTTGTTGGTACTGATACCAGATTTAAAAAAAATGTATGGAAGCTAACAAGAATCCTATAATTATCACCTATTATCATAAGTCATAATAAATAACTTACATATAAATATACCATTATGTCAGTAGGTCCCTGTAATTATTACAAACTGTTCCTTTAAATTGGGTTTAATGGTTTTCAGAAGCACCTAAATTAAAGATTGAACACGTCTGGTTACGGTAAAGTCTTAGTAAAAAGCTGTCTTGTTGTATTTAAAGCTTGAATTTCGTTCTTGTTCTGATGATTTTTTTTTAAGACTTTAGCGCTTTAACTGTTCTGGTTGTTTAAAGGAATAGTTTGAGTTTATTGATAAATATATAAACAAAACCTAAAGAAATGCTAGACATTAGAATAAAAGAATAAAATAAAATTGTAAACTTAACAAAAAAAAATTTGACCTTGGTAAAAAAAAAAAAAAAAAAACATTTGAAGCTGTAATAAGAGTTTTTAAAACGAATTAAAACAAACCAAATTTTGAGGTCTAGTTTTTGGTTTCCTTTCTTGCGCTGTTCCGCATCACGCCAGCAGATGGCAGTGCGGCAGTCGGTCATTTGTTTTGCTGCAGCCGTCTTTCATTATTATAGATTTTTTTTTTTTTTATTTCTTCATCTTTATTTTCAAAGACTAAACAAGCTAACAGATATTTAACATGAATTCAAAATAGAATAGAACAGAAATCAAACCTAAAAAAACGAATGAAAATTTCAAAACTGTTTTAACCTTAAAGAAAAGCGGATCAATCATTAAGTGCAGCGAATGGCTCATCAGAAGGACTCAACATTTAACTGTTAGTCCAGTTTAAGACGCTGCAAACTAAAAAAAAAAAAAGTTAATATCTGTGGCTTTTAACTCTCTGTTAGAGACATTAAACATCTGCACTTTCATAGATCAGTTTGTGTGTTGCTGATTTACTGTCCTTGATTTAGCCTGGGTAAAATTACTGCTAGCTGTATCCTGGTCTGCTGATGGCTACACAGTCTGAACAGCCTCTCCATTAATCGCCTCTGTAACCTCCTTTATGATTACCTTCATGGTACAAATACCTTTATTTAAAAAATGTAATTCTAATCTTCATCCAATGTGTCTCCAGGTTGTGGTTGTAGAGGAAGCATCCCAGATGGTCTGCCCCATCACCACCAAGCTGGTATTGGATGAAGATGAAGAGACCAAGGAGCCACTCGTTCAGGTCCACAGGAGCCTTGTAACAAAACTCAAGCCTCATCAGGTTGACGGTTAGTGACTTAATCCAGAACCAAAGGAAGAGATTCAGACCAACCAAGAACGATTCCTGCTCAGAGGGTCTTTGTGTTTGCTTTCAGGTGTTCAGTTTATGTGGGACTGCTGCTGCGAGTCTGTGAAAAAGATTCAGAAATCTGCAGGTTCTGGCTGCATCCTGGCTCACTGCATGGGTCTAGGAAAAACTCTGCAGGTAAGAGATGGCTTCACCGTTTTCACTGTAATTCAGCCTTCTTGCTCAAATTTTAGATAACTAAAACTGTATTGAAGCTGAGTAGAAAGAGTTTTTGCAAACACCAAAAGCTGATTGAGACCTCCTTGTAGAGAATACATTGTTTTAAAATAAAATCCAGGGGCGTGTTTCGATGGCGCAAGGGTTAGCTCGCACTACTCATGTAAAAAGGCCTTAGTCCTCGATGTGGCCAACCTGGGATTGAATCAGACATGTGGTCCTTTGCCACACTCTCTCGTATCCCCTTTCCTGTCAGCCCACTGTACAAAAAAGGAGCCACTAGTGCCGTAAAAACCTAAAAAAAAAAAAATCTGTTCCAACAAACACATTACAGCACCGCATAAAGTGCTTTTCAGGATGGAGAGACTCCTAAAAAAAAAACAGTACTAGAACTGTTACTAACACATTTTAATGTTGAATATTAGTCTGGTTTAGCGGATGGCATAATGTGAGAAAATAAAATAGCCTTGATCATCCTGCTAAAGTACTCGGTCGTTTAGATACTGTCACAGTTGATGTGTCTCACACACAGGTTTTTTACTAAAAGTTCCCCCATTTCCAATATATGCAGGTGTCCAAGCCTAGGATTTTTTTGGGGTGTTTTAATAGAAGCCGCAAAAAAATATTTATTTGTACAAATTGGAATAAACCCGATTCTGAGCATAAATAATAAAAAAGATGTAAATGTATCTGTCATTTACGGTCCAGCTTTTCTAATCAGCCATCTGCTGCACATAAACCTTTCCAAGTCATTTCTAGAGATTGGTTTTTCTTATCAAGTTGCCACATATTTCAGACGCATGACAGATTCCTCTGATAGGTGAATTGTTATCTCCAAAGCTGTAATGTGTCCCTTTTTTAACTTTTCCCATGTTGGCCTGTAGGTGGTGACATTCCTCCACACCCTGCTGCTCTGTGAGAAGCTTGACTTCAGCACAGCTCTGGTGGTTTGTCCTCTCAACACTGTCCTTAACTGGCTTAATGAGTTTGAGAAATGGCAGGAGGGACTGAAGGATGAGGAGAGCTTGGAGGTAAGAAATAGTCCTGTTCTTTATTTCACCCCCTTTTCGGCATCAGTGGTTAAAAAAAAAAACATGTTTTTTTTTTCTTCTTTTCCCCCAGGTAACGGAGCTTGCTACGGTCAAGAGGCCGCAGGAGCGTGCGTACGCCCTCCAGCAGTGGCAGGAGTCGGGCGGCGTTATGATCATGGGTTATGAGATGTACAGAAATCTTACGCACGGCCGAAACATCAAGAGCAAGAAGCTAAAAGAGACGTTTCAGAAAACCCTCGTAGATCCAGGTACAGTTTTAGCACACAGTATATAAAGAGAATCAGAATAGTGTTGATATGTCCTTCCTTCAGGTCTGCTCTGCCTGATTTACTGGTATTAATTGGAGGAAGAGCGCTGATTGGGATACAGCTGAAATCAGATTTCACTATCAGCTCCACTGTCTGAATAAACCACTAATGATGGAATCCCTTTTAAAAACCACCTGTACGCTTAACCAGCAGAAACTGATTTTTACCAAAAAATACCTGAACTACAGCTTTAATAGAAGAGGTAAATTTTATGAGAAACTTAAAAAAAAAATTTAACTGAGCTATTTTTCATTAAAAAGCCTTCCTCTACAAAATAGACAACAAAAACTGAAAGTACAACAAAAGTAAAATGGTTATAATGTTCAAACTGCTGCCTGCCTTTAGTATCCAGCCTCAGGTCAGCTCTAATGTTCTGATCTAATAATAAATAAACACATCTTTTAACGAAAACATTCAAATTAATTTGTTTCATGTGTGAAATTTCAACCATTTATATCAGGGTTCCCACGGGTGCTTAAAAAGTCTTAAAAGGCATTGAATTCTTTAAAATAAAATGAAAGCCTTAATTGGTATCAAAATCTCCTAAATCAGTCTTTCGTAGGTCTTAATTTTTAAAACATCATAATAGGATTATCTTTATTACGATTAATTTCTGTAATCTAAAATAAAACTTTAAAATTGACAATTTAAAAAAAAAAGTTTAATAAAAAATAACGGCTCGCCATTATTGGTTCCGTCCCGATAGCGGAAACAATAAAAGTGTTGTTGCGGCCGGGACATTTGGGAGATGCACCATTTACTTTTTGTCTGGAAAGTATGAGCAAGTGTAAATGTAACGAAAATTATCTATCCAGCCAAGAGCTTTCTCCATGGCTAAAACCAGGGGACATACAGGTGCTGGTCATAAAATTAGAATATCATGAAAAAGTAGATTGATTTCAGTAATTCCATTTAAAAAGTGAAACTTGTATATTATATTCATACATTACATACAAACTCATATATTTCAGATGTTTATTTTGTTTAATTTTGATGATTACAAATGACAACAAATGAAAATCTCAAATTCATCATATCAGAAAATTAGAATATTAATGAAGACCAATAAAAACAAAGGATTTATAGAAATGTTGGCCAACTGAAAAGTATGAACATGAAAAGTATGAGCATGTACAGCACTCAGTATTTAGTTGGGCCTCCTTTGGCCTGTATTACTGCAGCAATGCGGCGTGGCATGGAGTCGATCAGTCTGTGGCACTGCTCAGGTGTTATGATAGCCCAGGTTGCTCTAATAGTGGCTTTTAGCTCTTCTGAATTGTTGGGTCTGGTGTATTGCATCTTCTTCTTCACAATACCCCATAGATTTTCTATGGGGTTAAGGTCAGGAGAGTTTGCTGGCCAATTAAGAACAGGGATACCATGGTCCTTCAACCAGGTACTGGTAGCTTTGGCACTGTGTGCAGGTGCCAAGTCCTGTTGGAAAATGAAATCTGCATCTCCAAAAAGTTGGTCAGCTGCAGGAAGCATGAAGTGCTCTAAAACTTCCTGGTATGTGGCTGCGTTGACCCTGGACCTCAGAAAACACAATGGACCAACACCAGCAGATGACATGGCACCCCAAACCATCACTGACTGTGGAAACTTTACACTGGACTTCAAGCAACGTGGATGAAGTGCCTCTCTTCTTTTCCTCCAGACTCTGGGACCTTGATTTCCAAAGGAAATGCAAAATTTACTTTCATCAGAGAACATGACTTTGGACCACTCACCAGCAGTCCAGTCCTGTTTCTCTTTAGCCCAGGCAAGACGCTTCTGACGCTGTCTGTGGTTCAAGAGTGGCTTGACACAAGGAATGCGACAGCAGAAACCCATGTCTTTCATACGTCTGTGTGTGGTGGTTCTTGAAGCACTCACTCCAGCTGCAGTCCACTCTTTGTGAATCTCCCCCACATTTTTGAATGGGTTTTGTTTCACAATCCTCTCCAGGGTGCGGTTATCTCTCTTGCTTGTACACTTTTTTCGACCACATCTTTTCCTTCCCTTCGCCTCTCTATTAATGTGCTTGGACACTGAGCTCTGTGAACAGCCAGCCTCTTTAGCGATGACCTTTTGTGTCTTGCCCTCCTTGTGCAAGGTGTCGATGGTCGTCTTTTGGACAACTGTCAAGTCAGCAGTCTTCCCCATGATTGTGTAGCCTATAGAACTAGACTGAAAGACCATTTAAAGGCTTTTGCAGGTGGTTTGAGTTAATTAGCTGATTAGAGTGTGGCACCAGGGGCCATCAATTTTGAACCTTTTCACAATATTCTAATTTTCTGATATGATGAATTTGAGATTTTCATTTGTTGTCATTTGTAATCATCAAAATTAAACAAAATAAACATCTGAAATATATGAGTTTGTATGTAATGTATGAATATAATATACAAGTTTCACTTTTTAAATGGAATTACTGAAATCAATCTACTTTTTCATGATATTCTAATTTTATGACCAGCACCTGTATATGAGGCTCAGTGTATTTTGTGCAAGAAGTCATTCAAGCTCGGAACGATGGGAATTAAGGCAGTGGAGTCGCATGCGAAGCACGAAACACAAAGCGTCAAAATCGAGTTACCGAAAAACAGCCGGTATTTCTCAGTTTAGTTCCACCCTTGTCTCTGCAACGCCTCCACTTATCACCAAATCAAACATACTAAGAAAACGATACAAAGAAAAATAGCTGCAAAAAAGACTTAGCACTGGTTATGTTGTGGCTTTAAAACTGATTTGTTTTGTTTCCTGCTAAAACAAAGTTTGTGAATTCAGTTAAATAATTGTTCAAATATATCTGTCATTTGTGTGTTTTTTGCTTTCTTCCTGTATGGGAAGCTTTTCAAAATTTGGAACATTAGTACAGTGGTTTATGTTAAAATAAACCTTTGGGTAATGTTGTCGCAAGCAGGTTTTTCTTGTGTTTCTTGTGAAATTGGTCTTAAATTTTTATTTCAAGTGGCATTAAAAAGTTTTAAAAAGTCTTGAATTTAAATTGCCTTATGCTGTAGGAACCTTGTATAGAAAATAATCTACATTTAGAGATTAATCTGCAGGTTTTAATTAAAATAAAGTTTCCATTTTGTCCAATTAGTTTGCTGTTTTGCTGGAGCAAAATAAAACAAAAGACACTCTGCAATCTGATGTTTTGTTTGTTTGTTTAGTTGATCTTACATGTGTAAAGCTGCTGATATTTGTTTTCATGGTAGGTCCAGACTTGGTGATCTGTGACGAAGGCCACATCCTGAAGAACGAGGCGTCCGCCGTCTCCAAAGCCATGAACTCCATCAAGACGAGGAGGAGGATTGTGCTGACTGGAACGCCTCTGCAGAATAACCTTATTGAATGTGAGCCTCTTTGGTTTCTTTAGAAGAAAACTTCAGAATTTTTTTTTTTATTTAATGTTTTAATGATGTGTCCTCTTAACAGACCACTGCATGGTGAACTTTATAAAGGAGAACCTGCTTGGGTCCGTCAAAGAGTTCAGAAACCGCTTCATTAACCCCATTCAGAATGGCCAGTGTGCCGACTCTACGCCGCATGACGTCCGGATTATGAAGAAGAGGGCACACATCCTTTATGAGATGCTGGCCGGCTGCGTCCAGGTGAAAAGTCGACTCTCTGTTCGGATTTTCTTCTTCCATTTTTGTCTCTTTTGATAACATTTTTGTATCTGCTCCGTCTCAGAGAAAAGATTACTCGGCGCTCACAAAGTTCCTTCCACCTAAACACGAGTACGTGCTGTCGGTCAGAATAACGCCGCTCCAATGTAAACTCTACCGACATTACCTGGAGCACTTTACAGGTGAGAACCGTGCTTAAAGCTGCTGGATGTTCTGGTACAGTTTGATCCAAATGTCCGACAGCAGTTTCTAATACGTCACCTTTACCTGATGACTTAGAGGGGATCAAAGACAAGTACCGTATTTTCACGACCATAAGGCGCACCGGACTAAAAGGCGCACTCTCAGTTATGTGTCCCATTTCTGTATTTAACACACACATAAGGCGCACCGGACTATAGGGCGCGTTTTTTATATACAGGTGCATGTCCTCTACTACCTTTAAATACCTCTACTGCGTATTTAAAAATACAGCGGGGGCAAAACTGAGTATGACTGTGCTTTATTCATGTATTTATTACAAAGTATTAATCAAACCTGGCAGCTGGCCGTGAGACAGACACATCGCAGATGACACAGCGCTGTGGTCACTCCTAAATTAACTTAAAATCCTGAAACCTGCCGACGGAATATGTTCGCTTTTATTACCGGTATCCTGGTGCCTGCAGCTAAAATTATTTAGATGAAAAACACCTGCCAGCAGCCGCGGTGAACGAAAGGATTTCTCCTGTCGGCGCACCGCTGGTATGTGGGGGTCTGAGCGCCTCCGACAGAAATAGATAATCTGGATGAACTGACTGCAATTATTAAGTTTTCAGGTGGCCTTTCTCACTTAAAAACATATTAAAACTACTTTATTCCCACTGATCACAGCAAATATAGCTGCAAGATTTAGATTATTTAGATGAAAAAACACCTGCCAGCCACCGCGGTGAAGAGGAGGAGGAAACCAGAGGCTGCTGTTGAATTAAGTTTTCAGGTAGAAAAATAGAGCGGGAGCAAAAACCTGAGTATGATTGTGCTTTATTCATGTATTTATTACAAAGTATTAATCAAACCCATCAAAGTCATCATCCTCTGTTATCCTCAGCATTCCTCTGAATAAAACAGCTGCGCTAAATCAGACATGCCAGTTTCCCCTTCTTCGCTGTCAGAGTCACTTTCCGTGCAGCGCAGCTCCTCAGAAATAATGCCGGCTTTTGCGAAAGCTTGAACAACAGAGCCAGCAGACACGTTAGTCCAAGCATAAACAATCCATCCGCAAACGGTGGCGTAACTTGCCCGGCGCTGCCTTCCATTTATCATGAAACTGTGGTCTCTGTCTGTCATCAATCGCTCCCACGCCGCTCGCAGCCTTACTTTGAACGGCCGCTTCACACCGATGTCGAGCGTTGGAAGTTCCTTTGTCAGACCCCCGGGATAACGGCGAGCACAGCGTTCATTTGATTCATCTTTTTTTCACATCGGCTGTGAGATGGGCACGCAGCGATGGTGATGCGTGGAAAAAACCACCTAGTCTTCTCACATACACCTGCCTCAGCCACGCATCCACCCAGCCTTTTAATTTGCGTTAATATCATCAGAGCGCTGTGTCTGTCTCGCTGTCAGCTCCCAGATCAGCTTCTCTGATTGGTTGATGCGGCGCGTCCAGCAGCAAAACTTCAATTTTTCCATCTGAGCAGCAGCAGCGCGTTGGCGGTGCGTCAGATGCTTAAACGCTCCCGACGTGCTGCACCAAAACGCGCTGCGGGACCTTTTGCTGCACCTATACGCGCGTCAACCATTGACTTTGCATGTAAACTCGCTGCTTCTGCTGCACCTGCTGGGTCCGGTTCACACCGATGTCCAGCGGTTGAACAGCGAGCACAGCGTTAATTTGTTTCCCCATGTTTTTCACATCAGCTGTGAGATGGGCACGCATGGAGTTACATATTAACAGCGATGGTGAGGGGTGGAAAAAAAACACCTGGTCTCCTTACATTCAGCCACTCTTTCATCATCTCCTCAATGAGGTGGTCTCAAAAGTCGCAGTTACAACACACATAGGGCGCACCGCACCATAGGGCGCACCGCACATTTTGAGGGGAAAAAAAGACGTTTAAGTGCGCCTTATAGTCGTGAAAATACGGTACCTCTGAGCTCCATTTTTTATTTTTTTGTTGTCATGAATCACGCTACTTAGTGGACTTCCCTGTCATAAAGTGGCCTGGGTCATGTGCGTGTGTAGAGGCAGCTCTGGGAGAGAAATCTAGCTGAAGAAGGGGCCAGAGGTTTTGCACCTAGACCAAAAACAAAGAACATTACAGCTTTGGTGTGTTTTTACGGGGGGGGTCTGTGGTATGCGGCCTCCCTCATTAGGCTGAGGTGTCCACAGTGCTGATGTTGTGGCTGTGGAACCTTCTCAGTGGGGTCTTGTGACAATTCTAGCTGTAAAATGATCTTTTTTTTCCCCCTAACACCTCAGTGTAATGTCTTGCTACTTGAGGTCACCGCCGGCCTTTCTGTGACATCGATGAAAGGGAAAGATCAAAACTAGGATAAAAGTATTGTTTTCATGGTTTGAAGTCAGAGCGGCTTTAAATTGAGCGGTGCGAGAGGCTGGAAGCTAAAGGTTTTCCTTCGCTTGGGAAGAGATTTGGAGCGTGCTGCTTGTGAGATGAACACACATCCATCTTCCTTCTTGCGTTTGTTACAGGTGTGGGAAACGCTCTGGAAGGAGGCCGGGGCCGAGCAGGAACGAAGCTCTTCCAGGATTTCCAGATGCTCAGCAGAATCTGGACCCATCCCTGGTGCCTTCAGCTGGACTACATCAGCAAAGAAAACAGGGTATGGCTGGGAAAGGAAGAGCAATGAATATATCTATGAAAAGCTTGGAGTGCATGGGTGTGAATCACACACACACACAGTAGGGCAGCAATTAAAAAATTTCTGTTTTTCAGCGCCTCTAAAGTCTCTTTTTGGTTCAGGGCTTCTTTGACGAGGACAGCATGGATGAATTTATCGCTTCGGAGACGGAAGAATCCTCCATGAGTATGACCTCAGAGGACGAGAAGACCAAAAAGTAACGCCAGCCTTACTTTTACTTTTGTATCGCATTTTTTGGGTTAAAGAAAAAAACATGCATCTTTGAATTGTATAGGTTTTGCGTATGACTTTTATCAGTCTTTCCTGTGGTTGTTCGCCTATTTTACACTTTAACTCATCGATGTCTGTGGCCTCTGTATTTTGCAACCCATTAGTCAGATTGAGAGCACAGCCTTTGGGCCAAAGGAGCACCTCTATGCTTCTCCTATCTGCCTTTCTGTTGTAGATTTGCTGCTGTGTTTGGGATCATTGTTCTCTTGCATGATCAAATCCTGGTCAGCTTTTAACCGTTGGGCAGATGACCTCACATTCAACTAAAGAATACCTGAAATACAGAGTTCATGTTGACCTAATAGCAACAGCCTAAATCTGCAAGTCTTAAATCACTATAATAGCGCTATGTCACCATAGCAACGAGCAAACCAGTTTTTTTTAGATAAGCTGACTTCTAAAGGTGAAAAAGCTGTCAAAGAAAAAACTTGATGAATGAAGAGGAGAGCAAAGGAGAACAGGAAATGCCACAAGGCTGCGCTATTAGCACATTAAACAACTGTAAGCTGTTTATTTTAGTTTTAATAACAGCTTTCTTTTATCCTTACATAATTAGAATAAATTAGGTTCTACTTAATTAAATGCAATTAAATTAAAATCATCTTAGTGACAAAATAAACTTTAACATGTAAGCACATCAATGCAAATAAATCTATTTTTAACCCAATATTTGGATTATTTAACCATCAGGTTGACAGTTACAGTCCTTTAGCTTTTATAAACCCCGGATATTTTATACAACTACTTCAATAGGAAGTGTGAATAATGCGCAAAGACTCAATATAGCACAGTTTTTCTTTGAATTTGGTAAAGAAATAGATCAACATGGCATACATTACTGCCTTTAAGATGTTAACATTTGCTATGAGAAGAATTTAAAGTTAACTTCCTAAACTGAACAGAAGAGTTTGTTTTTAGGTTGGAACTTCAAGGTTCAACGCTGTGTAAAGCAGCTTGTGCGTCAGATTTACGGGTGTACTAGACACAATGAATACAAGGTTCCCTGTTGGGACTTTATTGAAAAAAAAGTGATTAACTATGTTAGTTTATTTAAACCAGTTAAAAAACCTGAAATCTTGTTTCAGTCTGATCAGTGTAATAGCTGCTGTTCCAGAGCTCTTTTGACTCATAGATGCAGTTTTCTAAACTGGAGTCGTACTTTTTAGAGAGAACAAGCTTTGTTATTTCTTAAAACTTTTTCAAACAAGTCTTACTTAAACTCTGGGACTAAGATAAGAGTAGTTTAAGGGTTTACTCAGGGGTCAGTTAGCTGACCATTGATCATAGCTTCTGTCATTATGGGGGGAAAAATTTTTGATGATTTATCCACATGAGAAACTTGTATCTTGTTAGTAAATCCTAAAAACATACAGGAAGGCTGGTATTGTTACAATGGTTTTTATTTTTTTTGTTTTTACAGTTTTTCATGACTATGTTCTACTTTAGCAGTACTGCAGGGTTCTGATGAATGTTGTTTATGTCTATGAGTTTGTGGGACTCTCTCTATTCGATTACATATTCTAAAACCTTTATTTGTACTTAAATGCCACAAGCCATAAGATTTTCAGGTCCACATCTTCGATGTTTTCACCCCAGGTGTAGCTACTTTCCCCTTTAGACAGTAATGATGATGATAATAATAATATGTTTTATTTAAAGCGCAATTTCAGGAAACCTAAGGACTTCTGTAGATGTAAAGTATGAAACTAAGGGGAACAGCGCAAATGGTTGGAATGCAATAAAAATACATGGATAAAAAAAAAAAATAATAATATATAAAGATTTAAAAGTAGAGCGAAATACAGCAGTGTAGCAGATGGAGTGAATGTCAAGTTTGAACAGGTGAGTTTTGAGGTGTGATTCAAAGAGGTACAGATCCCGTAGAAGCAGAGAGGTTCGTTTATTTCGTTGCTTCATATTTTTTTCATTGAACAGTTTGTGCGACCTATGGTTTGGTTTTAAGCACTTCAGAGTCGTCAAACTTCTTTGACCTCTTTTTAGCTGAACTGACATCTTGGATCATTAACCCTGCCTGATTAGTTTTCTCTTCCGCTGCCCTGCGTTTCTGATAGAAAAAAGAAACAGGGAAAAGGGAAGAAGAAAGGCTCAGACGACTCTGACAGCGACGAAGTGGAGGTCATCAAGGAATGGAACAGCAGCTCTCGCGGCAGGAATGGAGAAGGTCGAAGACAAGCCGAACCTGTCGAAGAACGTACGTTTTCTTTTTGTTTGTATTTCAGTCTTGTTGTCGGGGTAGGATTGTAACAACATCTTTTAACATCTTATGCCTTTTTCTGATGCAAACATCCATTTGAATCATTTTGGCCTCTACACTTTAAGAACTGCTGTAGGAGGGAAAAAAGCAAACTGATCAGATGACTCGGCATTAAACTATAATGGCTAGTTCTTGAACTACAGCTGGTTTATGGCTGACATTTTGTACTCATGGGTATTGTGAAGATACAGTTAAGCCATTAGAGAGACATTTTCTTTCGTTTGAACCTGAAACATGCATTTTTTTTTTAAGAATGTGCTTCCTTTCCTATATATATAATGTCGCTATTAAATAGATTTTTTTTGTTGTGCATCTGATCTGATCTTGTTGTACATCTGATGCATTAAGAAGTAACCCAAGTATTGATCTGTGTTTCTACTCCAGCAACCCGGGTGGGCGGCTCTACGCCTGGGAGTCCCTGCTCTGCCGACTGGTACAAAGAGTTTGTCACTGAGGCCGACGCCGAAATCCTGGAGCACTCAGGAAAGATAATGCTACTCTTTGAGATTCTGCGCATGGCTGAGGAAGTAGAAGATAAAGTGTAAGGATGTTTGTGCACATCTGTATTCAGAGCCGCAGTTCTAGATGTTTAAGGTTTGACCAAAGTCCCTTTTTTGTCCTCAGGTTGGTGTTCAGTCAGTCTCTCATCTCTCTTGACCTGATAGAGGATTTTCTAGAACTTTCCAGCAGAGGCGAGGATTCTGAGAAACCCTCTCCATACAAAGGTGAGGTTTCGGCACTATTGGTGTTTCTGCTGGTTGCTTCTCTTTTTATAGTTGAGGTTTTAAAGCTGCTGTAATTCCATAACAACATTTCTAATAATGAGCCGTTGCAGGTTTAATCACATTTCTGCTTTTTAGAGTTTAATATTTAGTGTTAGACTTACAATAAAGCAAACTTCAGAGGATGCTGAAGCATTGCAACGTGTACTCAGCTGCATATTGATATGCCTTTTACCCCTGAACCCCCACAGATGCATGTTGCCGCTGTTGTTCTGAGGTCGTGTTTCTAATTAAACCTCGCCAGCTGTTTTTGCTTTCATTTTGAAAATGATTAGAGCTCCACTTTTTATTCTGCAAAAAAATGTTTGCTCAAGGGTTTGTAATTTGTAATGAAAAGATCAGAGTGTCCTAATTGAAAACATACTAAAATGTTGGTTATTAAGGCTTTCAGGGGGAAGTTGGCTGCCTTTGAGACAAAACACTGCATCTAACCAACATGGCTGTGTCTCTGCTATTGTGAATCTGTTTGAAAAAAGCTAAAAAAAACAAACTAAATTGAACTGTTTGTTTAAGGTGAAGGAAAATGGTATAGAAACATCGACTATTACCGTCTGGACGGCTCCACTAACGCTCCCACTAGGAAGAAGTGGGCCGAGGACTTTAATGACACCAGCAACACAAGGTGCAGTGCTTCCTGGATCTTTGAAAATCACATAAATACAGATCGACACCTTACTGAAATCTCTCTGCTTCACTCAGGGGTCGTTTGTTTCTCATATCAACGCGAGCTGGATCTCTCGGCATCAACCTGGTAGCGGCCAACAGGGTTATCATCTTTGACGCCTCCTGGAACCCGTCGTATGACATCCAGAGTATCTTCAGGGTTTATCGCTTTGGACAGGTCAAACCTGTCTACGTCTACAGGTTTCTTGCACAAGTGAGCTTTTTTTATATACTTTTTTTTTTTTTTTTTATTCATTCAATCTTCAAATTGATCCATTTCTCTTCTATGTCATTTTTAACAATGTGTTTATAAGGCTAACAAGTGAAAACCTTCTGAACAACATTTAAATGTTTAAAAGCCTTAAAAAGCTTAAAAAGTCTCTTTATCCAAGGGATGAACCACATACAACTCATTTTGTTTCAATTTTTTTAATAAAAGATGCAAAAATCTACAAAGTTTTAAATGCACAAACATGAGATTAATGTTGGTAAATGTGATGGAAATAGTACTCATTATAATTGCAAAACAAGTCAAATAAAAACAAATAAACTGCTGGTTATAAGTAATCTAAGTAGCTGTTGAAAATACAAATATGTCAAACTAAACAGATTTTTTTTTTACCTGTTTGAAAGATTTTATGATAAAAATAAGCTACAAGTGCCACCAAATATGCAACAGTCCTGAGAGAATTAAAACATGTAGCTTAATTCATCAACAAATACTCTTTGCAGTTCAGTTATCCATATGCGTGCTGTATACAGTCACATTCTGACGTTTATTTGTGCAATGCAAGCATAAGATTAATAAGGCTCCAACAAGGGGCTTAGTATAGAAGTGTACTAAGTAGATGGTCTGCTAAAGGAGAATGCATCTCCAATGTTTCCACTTTGTAATGATGCAACACTTGGATGCTGTTTTTATGCAAAATGCAGTTCACAAGAAAAAGGAAAGAAGAAGCTAAAGTAAAAAAAAAAAAAAAACTATTAGGATCCCAGAGAAAGTCAGGGTGCTATTAATCAAGATTATGACTGGAAATTAACTCAAATTTCATAAAAATTTTTATTTCTCTTCAAACTGATCTCAATTTGTTTTTGTTTTTTGAACTATTGACTGAATTGCATGACCGTGTAGTTGGGTAACAAAATTATACTAGTATTATATATATTTCAACAGCATGGTAATGAAGTAACTGTAGTAAATATGAATGCAGGAGCAGGAAATATCAGCTGACAAATTTTAGTTTACACAATTTAAATCAATTGTCGGTTACATACGTTGATCTTTAGAAACCGATAAGAGAATCCATTCAGAATTTGAAAATTGTTACATTTTTTCAATAAAGCTACCTTCTATCATTACAAGGGGGTCTGACTGCCTTATGATGGATTATGAAACTAGAGGTTTTTCTAAAGCAACATTATATAACTTTATACCAAAGTATTAGATGATGGATTATAATCCAGGTTAATATTATGGCTGCAGCTAACAATTATTTCTGCTAATCAATTAATCTTTTCATTATTTGTTTGATTTAAAAAATGAATAACAAGTTTTCATCAGAAGATTTTGTACAGAATGAGGAGGACTTCTGGATGGAGCATATTAACATGTTAGGATCATTCTTTGTTATCATGTATGCGCCTGTTAATCCCCCAACATTACTAACCTGTTCAGTATGGTATATGTTAAAATTTTTTTTTTTTTTTTTTTTTTTTACCCATGGTGCAACTCTATAAAAATATAGATTAACTAACTAATTAACTAATGTTTGTTTGTTTTTCTCAAATGGTTTGATAAGTTTATCATAGTTCTTGTGTCAGGATAAAACAAAATCTTTCTCGTTATGTAAGTAACAAGAGTTTGGAGATAAACTGGCAGCATACAGATAGAGATGGTGATTCTTAACTTTTTTGTCATCTTGAATGCAAAATGTTGACACGTTTACACAATGTTGGTATAATTACTCCTCAAAGTGAATTGATATTTATGCCAATGACATGTAGAGTATGTTCACTCCAGTAAATATTTGATTGATTGATGGATAAATTAGTTGATTATATCACTAATCAGTTTATAACGATTAATCTGATGGATTGTTCCAGCCCTAGTGAACATAAAGACCTCATCAAATCTTTTTCGCTGTTATGTCCAGTTTTTTGTTGTTGCTTTCTTAAGTAGGAAATTTAGATTATGAACGACTCAGTTTAGCAAAAAAGAATATTTTCAAAACGTCAAAAGTAATGCGTTTGATTTCCCCCGTTTTATCCTTCGCCATCAGGGTACAATGGAGGAGAAGATTTACGAGCGGCAGGTTACCAAGCAGTCTCTGTCCTACCGAGTTGTGGATCAGCAGCAGATCGAGAGACACTTCACCATGAACGAGCTAGCTGAGCTCTACACGTTTGAGCCGGACATGCTGGATGATCCCTCTGAGAAGAAGAGCAAGAGGGCTACCCCCATGCTGCCAAAGGTTAGCTTGCTTTGACTTTACTCTTCCTAGTTCAGCTGCTCCGCTTTAATCAGCTCTAATGTTTTCCTTCTGAGCGGTCCATAAATAAAATCATCAAGTCTTTTTTTTTTTTTTTTTTTTTTTTTTTTAACCTTTAGATCCTGTTGGACTTAATTCTTGGTTCTTTGTTCAGGCCTGTAGAATATGGCTTGTTCCTTCTTTTGATGTGGAGAAGTAAAGTCATAAATTGCTGCTTAAACTCTGCCAGCTTGTTTTATAATCAACCATTTTGGGAGATAGGTTTTTGTTTTTTCTTGGGGTGTCCTTTCATTCCTTGCGCTCGTCTCCTCTCATCTTAATGCAGGTGCTGTGTCACTATTTAGACCTTCTGTGGTTTAATAGGAACACACAAACCTTACATGGGCCATTCAGCATAGCACAGCTGCATAGATCTGGTTTGTTTACCATTATTTACTAAATAGTCTTCTCATTGCAACACGGCTCCTTCCCTCCTATAAACTTGGAGCCCTCTTGCTCTTTTTTAAAGTTTTTTTTTTTTTATTAATTCCTTGAGGTCTTCGCCTTCTGTTGATCCTCGAGTTGCTCCCATCTATATCCCCCATTACGTTTGCAGTCTCTGGTTTATTCAGGTCTGTTCCTGAAGTGGTTTTACCTCTGAAATCTGTAAACAGAATAGATGGAAGAAACACTTAATCCAGCTCGCTGGCTTTTTTTAATGTGCAGTAAAACAGCCTGTCGGTCTTTACAGGAAATTAGTTTTTCATTCAGAAGGAAGGATTTTTGCTGTGGCCTTCTAAAGGAAACAGACCCTGGTTTTCTACTGTCTTCACGACACATGACCATATTTGAACCTGTCATCGCTGCAGCGGAGAAAAGCGAAGATCATAAATTTAACACTTAAATAAGCTAATTTCATATTGAGGTAGAAGTTCCACATGATGACGTCTTTATAAAGGTCTCCTCTGGTCCACCACAGCTTTGCTTCTCGGTTGTGCATTTCTCCATGGCGGTAGGGAGGTTTTAGTGGCGGGTTTACATCAGCCGCCTCCTTCAGGTCTTATAACGCAAACAAAGATTTCACTGCCGTGTTTAGCCTGTTTGTTTATTTGTTAAAGGTACTTTTTTTTAAAAAGTGGGTTACTTTAGGTACGCATTTGTTTTGCTCTCGTCCATGGTAACAGATGTTCCTGCAGCTTACGGTGGAAAAAAGTTAAACTGGTTCGAACTGGTTCTGATACTCCCCTGTGGCTTTGAATCAAACTAGATCCTGAAGGACTGAAATGAGCATCAGACGTTGGTGGACTCGTCTGTGTAGATGAGGTGAGGAGCTTTTAGATGGGATGAAACCTTTAATTGAAAAAGCTCTTCTGTCGTTAATTACGATCAATACAAGAGTGATATTCAGATACTAATGACAAAAACAAAGCGGGTTTTTTTTTAAAGAAAAATGCTCTTCTGCCGGTTCTGTTTTATCCATACAAAACCTGGAAGGGTGATTTAAATCTGCGAGATTGGACAGCCAAAATGGCGGCTATACACACTGAAACGGAAAGCGAAGGCGATGAAAATACTTTATCAAATGAGTAGGGCTGGGTATTTTCGCCAAAGTCCTGAATCGATTCGATTTTGATTCATACAGTTCTAAATCGATTAATTTCGATTCGATTTGTTTTTACAACAATGAAAGTGGTTCAGCTCTGTTTCAAAAATACTCATGTATTTATTTTTTTTCCTGTCACATTAAACACAAAGTGCAAACTTGTAAATCAGACAGTTTAAACATGAGATGTGAACAAAACTGTCTCAAAAGTGCAAACTTGTTTGTGAAAAGTGAAAAAGTGAAGCCTCACTCGAGCAAGAAGACGTGACAAAGCAGACGTGCGTGAGCTGCATTATCTCCACTGTACAAACCATATTTTTTAGCGTTGTCTGTAACAACTACAGGGTGTTTTCTGGTCAGCCCCCATTTGTTAATGTCTTCAGTCAAGCTATTGGCTATATTTGCAGCTGTCTGGCTTAAAGTATTTTGAGAGCATCTTTCCTGCTCATTTGAATGTGAACGTCATGCACGCCACTATAAAATGAATCGATCTCATTCCCTAGACATCAATTTTGCAAAAATGTAAAGGAATCGATTCAAAATCGATTACATTGATTTTTTTTTTTTTACCCAGCCCTACAAATGAGCATATTCCAAAGGATGACAAACAGAATACAGTCAGCAGGTCCTTCTTGAAGTTAACGATGCTAGAATTTCAAACTTCAGTACCCAGTAAATATTCAATATCTGATACCATGGTGATAAAAAAATAGCAAATAATTAAAAGGCATAAAACATGTTTAACATGAAAAAAATAAAACACATTTTCTTAACAGAATTACTGTTTATATTAGGTAAAGAATTGTGCAAATGGATAGAAAAAGACCCAAATCTGAGAGCCATTCACCCAGTGTGATGACACTGGGTTAATGGCTGCAGCAAAGTATTCGGTTGCTAAGGCGGTTTCTAAGGCACATTCTGGGAGAATTGTTTAAATTAATTTTTTTTTTTTTTGCCGTTTTTTAGCAATAACCAATCACTCCTAGTTTTTAAACAATCAAAGCTCCAAAAAGGAAGAAAAAAAAAGGTTCTTTAGAGGTTTATCTGGGCTGGAAGGTCTGTTTAAAGGAGAAGGGACGTCTAGGTGTCCCATGGCGACCATGGTTGAACAGAAGCAGCTGAAGTACTTTGCTAGATAAGAAGGCTTCTGTACTTTTTTTAGGTGTTATTTTTTTTTTATTAATTTATTATTACTTTTTTTTTATAATAGTTTGTTATAAAATAGTTTTACACTTTTGCTAAGGAGAGTTTTCACACAACTTTATTTGGTCCGACTCTTTTTACCTAATAAAACCAGAAATTATTAGTTTTGAAAAAAAGAAAAAAAAAACGCCTTTTTCCATCTACTGCAAATCAGCCAATGTATTAAAATGCATTAAGGAGACTGAACTGAATTTCAACAAGTGTATAATTCTGGGATGGAGGCGTGTTCATCAGGGCTGCTGATGATGATGATGGTTCATCAACTGCTGCAGTCTGTAATAAGCCGTCTGACCTTTATGTGCCATTCTGTTGGATACAGAGAGGTTGATGAGTCTTTTAACAGACTGACCTGCTGTTGCCAGTGGGGAAACTGCAATGTGGCAGCAGGACTGCAGCACAATGGAAAGAATGTACTGTCTGGGACGATGTAGGATGAGTCAGACACTCTTCATCACCAGAGGCCCACAAAGCTCCCCACAGCAGTTCTTGACTCGGGTTTTTCACAGAGAGGTAGTGGAGTTTATTCATGGCAAATATGGATTTCTTTAACAGCTCTAAGAAACTTTGTTCACAAGCAATTCTTTAAAACCTTTTCCCAGACGTGTTTTTTTTTGTGTGCTGCTTTTATTCAGGTTAAAAGGGGGGAAAAAACGCATTAAAAGTTGATCATTCCTCTGTGTGCGTGTTCTTTTTCTGCCGTTGTCATTTCAGCACCTGTTATCCAGCTTCCCTCCTCCTCTTTACTCATGTTGCCTCTCGCTCCACCAGAAGCCCACGGCATCGTTTTCCCGCCATCTTCAACAGCATCTGTTGTTATGACTTTGCACTTTACAGTGCTTGCTTTGAACATTATCTGCTTCTGCCTCTGGCCTTCCCTGCATGATGAAGGGTCATTATTTTAAACCCCCCTCTTAAACATGTCTTTGTGCTCTTCAGAAAATCTAATTGGAGACAAAGCAAGCGAGCACACTTCCCCTTAATGACAAAGAAGGTACTTGTATCCCAGACGTGAGTTTGACAATCCCTTCCCACCGTCTCTGAGATTGTATCCCCCCTCCTCGTATTCGTCATACTTGTCTTTTCTCATCTGACTTGCAGCTACATGTGTAGTGAGAAGTGACAGGAGGTTTTTAATGCAGTTCTCACAGGCTCTACATATATAGCCGAGTCTCTGTCCTTCGTCTCAGCAGTTAATAGCTGCTGTAGCCGTTGGGCTGTGACAGGAACATTTAGATGCTTAAGTCGAACAGCAGAGCTGACTGCAGCTATAATCCACACCATGCCTGGTTCATTATAGGTGGCCTTAAAGAAGAATCATCTCAGTCATTTCGTGATGACAGAAATATAGTTTTTAGACTCTGTTAAATAAGAAAAGCTTTTTATTTTATCCCAGATTGCTCCCACCTACGCGTACTTAATGAGGATGACTTTTTATCCTAACAGAAGAACCGTCCTAATTAGATAAACTGCTTGTGAAAACATAAACCTTAACACATAACAGGCAGGTATTATTAGGGTTTAACAAGCGCATGCATGAATTATACAAAATAATCCTAACACCCTCAAAAAACATGCCCGAGCTTGTTGCGTTGCAGGTGTGGAGAGAGCGCTAATGATAGCGGCGGCAAAAACCAGAGCTGCTGCAGGTGAGAAAAGCCAAGAGGTGTTGTTGGCTCATTTGCAGTTTTAAGCTCTCCTGAGGAGTCTGTGAAGACACTGGTGGGGTTCCAGGTTTAATCTGATTTCCTTGGCTTAAATCAAACCTGCTGTTTGTTTGTCCCTCGCTGAGCAGAGAGGTGTTTGGTATCAAGTTACCTTAGTATCTCAACCAGATTGAGATCTGGGCTTTGACTCGACCTGCGTCTTTTCAGATTACTGCTGTGTTTTGGGTCAACAGCATATCATCCCTAAACCATGAAACTTCCACCTCCATGTTTCACAGTTGGTATGTGCTCTTTTTGTAGGGTGCTGGTTTGGGCAGCAACTAACTATTATTTTGCAAATTCGATTTATCCGTCGGTTAATTTTTTCGATTAATAATGGGATAGCCAAAGGTTCCTTTCAGAAGAGTTTTTACAAATTTAAACCAGGTGACACTAAAACTTTTCCACTTGAAGAAGTCTAGATGCGGCATATTGACAGACGAGAACATGTTTTATCTTAAATGCAAAATGTTTATATATTTCTTTATACAATT